TATAATTAATATTTTTTACATGATATTTCCTCACACACATACATCTTATCAGTATGAGAAAACGTTCGTTTTCCATCTTTTGGTTTAAAACACACCATTTCATGGCACAGCACACATTTGCATGTGTCTTTGCAGCGCAATTTGAAGAACATACAGTACAGTGCCATACCTGAAACAGAAAACTTAATGATAAAATAACAATAATAATAATATTAGTAATAGTAATCCCTCTGCACTTCAGAATGTGGGCTTCCACACACCCACACATCACTTAACATATTTTATTTCCCATATTAGAAGATATTCTTTGACAGCGGGAAAGGTGTGATCTCAAAATTAAAAGTGAATGATCCAGACATAACGACAGCAGGGGTCCCTCATTCTTCATTTAATAAACAATAAACAGTTAATTTAGCTGAAATACATAATACATGGAATATTCTTGACAGTATATGGATTGTTTATAGTGTTGAGGGTGTTGCGCAATGATACACAGATGTGTTCAAGTGCTTCATCGTAAATAATAAATCCATCATTGTTTAAGACATCCTGTACTAGGGTTGCTATCTTTATGGTAGTAAAAGATTTATTTGATAATATTGCAAATTTTAGTTTGTTATATTTTTTAAATGTCAGTTGTAACATATCCATATCCTTCCTGTTATTTTTGTGTTTATGTGCTAAAATACATTTGTCGTGTTTAACCTTGTTCCGTGCATAATACAACAAACATTCAAAGATTTCATGAGTTGTTTTCAACAGATTTATGTGTTTGTGCTGGTATACTGACCTGCCAGTGACCTGAATTACAGAAGAGAGGGAGACTGTAATCCTGATTACACACATGCTCCATCATTCAATCCTCCCAACAAGATGGAAAACACTAAACCATCAACCATAATCTCACAGCCTACAATCTACTGGCACACACAGAAGAAACAGTAGTAACAGCATGCACAAAGCATATGGGTGAGTTTAATTATCCTGAACAATTAAAAATTATTTTGAGAAAGAAACATGATTGGCACCACAAATATAAATCGAAATATAGCAGAAAATATGTTTGTATCTTCTCTGCTCCTTGATAATGTCAGCATTACATGAATTTTATTTTTTTAGGAATTCACAATAACCTTGCATAGTTCAAATCCACTCTTTCAGGCTCTGCAGTAGCACGATTATTAATATATTCACTGAACCTCAGTAAACATAAAAATCTAAGGCAAAATTACATGATCTCATATAGGGAAAACCAGGGCCCTATTTTAAAAAATGAGCTTCTGAATTCTTAAAAAAATCTAAGGTTCATGAAATTGATTTATAGATGAACAAACACGTGCATTCAAAAAGTCTTGTCTTTTTGTGTATATAGTTAGTGACAAGTGTGGAGTTATAAAATGTTTAAAAAAAAACTTAAATCAAAGTTAAATTAGTCTCACAAGCAAGAATTTAGTTTTTTGTATTGAAGTCTAATCCAGTTTTCACCTCATTCTATTTATAACCACTCATGAAAATGCCACAGAACATTTTATTGGTCTGTGATTAGCTAGCTCTTGCCATTTTTGCAACATGCATCAGATGGCAAAGATTGTAGTCCGTACCAGCCGAGGCTGAGACTAATGTGGAATAGAACTGTTGCCATGTGATCTGAAAATTCCTACATCTGTTTCACGAGCATTATTCATTTTGTATGATTCCTGCAATTGTGTACAGACACTGAGATTTTGATTTAAGATGGTATATTGTTTCCCCTTCATTCAATTTGGTTTTCCAACAATTGCTATAGTGACCTCAATTGGTGATCTGGATGAACAGCAAGTCCAACACCAACGCATCCGACCCTCTAAATTGAACGTTCTAATATTCTGGGTACAAATAACTATTACAACAATTAAGGAGTAAAATGGAATGTTTCAGATTCAAAAGTTCTAGTAACAACATCTACAGTCTGCTGTCACCACAGAAAATAATGCAGACTGTGTTGCGCCAAAATCCAAGCCATAGCAAACTAGGTAGCCTTTCTGAGTTTTCTAATTTTATTAATTATTCACGGCGACAAACAACATCTATATAATAAAATAATAATAATCAGGCCGTTACACCACATTTCACTGTTTAAATGTTTTAGCTATGTAACATGTTGTTGCTATACTTTAAAAACTATGAGTTCTTTTGAAAGCAGATTTCTGCTTTTTTTTTTTTTAAGAAATTGACAAAACATGTATTTATTCAAGGCAAGTGATTTTAAGTGCAATATTGATACACTGAGAGAAATTTGTGTGGAGGGATGGTCCAAAGTTAGAAGTGTTATACTCAGCTTTTGATAGAGGTTTTGTGCTAAAGTAGGATCTACACGTTACTAAATTAAAGTCTTACTTTCTCCACCTTGCACTCTTAATGATCACTCTTTGTACAAAATAAAAATGTGGAAAGTACAACTGTTATTAATTTATTCAGATTGTTTTTGTCTGAAATAGTTCATTTAAGATCACACCATGTGGGTAATCAATATAGAAATCCAGCAGCCATTACGATTGGGACGTGTTCCCATCTGCTTAAAGGGGTCCTATTATGCCATTTTACAAAATCGTGATTTTGTTTTGGGGGTGTACTAGAACAGGCTCTCATACTAGGTTGTTCGAAAAACATTATTTTTTTCACATATTTTACATTATTACACCTCTCTACCCAGTCTGGCATGAACGGCTCAAATAGTTCCTGTATCAAATGAAGGCCCGCCTTCTTAAATATGAAATGTGCTGTGATTGGTTAGCTGGGCCAGTGTGTGTTGTGATTGGCAGCACTCGGCACCTGGTCGGGAAATGTCACGCCCCTTACCATAGCCGCCTGCTAGCTTCAGTGTAAATATTGCG